ACGGTAATTGTTTACAATCAAGAGCGTAAGTTGAATTTGGCTTTTGCGAAAACGTACGCATCGAAAGTGTAATATGAGCATTAACTGCGATGCTTTTAAAAATGTCAATATAACTGGGATATATAAGTAAGTTTGCGTTTGGTGCAAATTTAGACTCACGGCAGCAAATTGAATATGATGCAAGACTAAAGTTACCAGCTGTTATCACGAGAATTAAAGCTAAAGTATGCGAACCCTTCTGCAAATTTGCAGCTATTCGTTAGGGACGCGTGATATTATTGAAAAACTGAACCAGTCCTGTTGCGATTACGTGAGGGTGTTGGCAAAGGAAGTTTAGTCACATCGGACGGCAACTGTGCTATTCGTAGGAAATGACTTATAGGGCGGACGCACGTCCGTCGCGGTGGTTTTATGATGAGTTTTTGTTCGGCATCTAGTGCTGGTATACGTTGTAGGTATTAATGAAATATGTTATATTTTACCTTTTCTCTTCGTGCCTGCGGTACGTGTCCATGCAAACATTTGCTCGAAACATGAACGTGTTTTCACCTATAGATAGGAAGTCTGAAAGACACCAATAAAGAAGTGATATGCGCAAAATATTTTATTTTAAATTGACTGCGCAAGCTTTTCGCATAAATATAAAAAACAAAATAAATATCATCGAAAGACTTCGACACCGTCGCTCAAGGAACGTCAGGCTCTATGTTGTCCTGCTAAGCTTTAAGTGTTTTGCTCTCGCTCGTTTCGAAGCGTTTTCCCTGTTCATTCCCTTCACTAAGAAGTGAAGGCGAGTGAGCACGTAGAACGAAACGAGCTTTGTGCTCACTGCATCTTTGTGGTCTGGACAGCCGACCGCTTTCGAGTTCAGAAAATTAGTTTTCACCAATGAAAGGATGTCAGAGATGCTATCTGTGTGCAACATGGAAACACTGAAACATTCAGTAAACAAGTTTTCAAGTGAGGCAATGAAATCATACAGCTGTCGTGAGGGGTACAGAAGTCCACCCCAGTCGCATTGCTCCGTGAATTGCGAAGGGAGCTGTTCAGCAACCGCGACAGCTTTCTCAAACAGAAGCACTTCTTTGCATTGTACGCATGCCAACTTCAATACACACTTTCTGGCCACGTACCCTGCTGTGTAGTAAATGAGTCTCGAGTCACTCTTCTCCAAAGTCACATCGATGTGGTCAGCAAACTTTTCTGGCATCGTGGCAATCGTGCTTTCGACCTCGCCAAGTTTTCCCTGTGATATAAGATCATCAATTTTTTTGTGCGTGACCTTTAGACCCTGTCTGTCATGCACAGTGACAAGAGCGTTTATCATGTCAGGGTTTGCGTTTGCGCTGTCCACACTGTGCGCCAAGTTATAAAAGGACAAGCAGTTGACGGTTATTAGAAACTCATCCGGAGAGGGGTGCGCGTTGCAGCCACTTGACTGGCGAACGATGCCGAAGAAATGTTCCACGGGATCGGTGCTAAGTCGAGATGTCATGAGATATTTGAATCCAACGCTCTCTGTCAGGTACTTCAGCAATGAAAGGGTATTTGCTATAGTGACCCTAAAACCTATGGCAGTGGACTCGCTGAGAAAGTGCCGCTTGTTGTCACTGAATGATTCCCAGTCATTCAGGAAGTCCAGAAAATTGGACAGGAATGCCACGTCTGTAGAAGCTGGTCTCAGCGCTTCGGCCCGAAACCTGGAAGTCATCACGGTGATCAGTCGTTGGATCTTCCTGCAAAATAAACAAAAAGAATGTATGTCAGAAGAGCGCTCATCATGCGTTTGAGATGTTTACGATTACACTTAATTCATTTGGAACGTAGGCGCAACTCACGAGAAGAACAGCTGAGTTGCCTCGATGCTGCCACACCTTCTCTCGATGTCCTCCTTGTAGAAGGCCAGGCCCCGTAGGACATATGGACCGAATAGTTGGAAGGCGAAAGGGGTTCTCATCTTCTCAAATGAGTTTGGTTCCAGATGCGTCTCGGTCAAATTGGGCATAACTTTCAGTGTCCTAACACTTCTGTCTAGAAGGTACGCCTCCCGAACCGGATGCACAGACACCTAGAAATATAGGTTGAGGTAATGCAATGTATGCAAAAAACACAATCTTTGTAAAATGTCAACCATGAATCTATACGTACCAATCCGTCTGGTGTTGCAAAGCCTTTCTGGAGAAGACCATTCCTGAGGCATTTTAGCAGATGCGGGAAATCGGAGATAAAGTGCAATTTCCTCATCTCGTCGACAGGATGCTGTATGGCGCCATTTATTTTCTTCGATGACGCCGACACCCCCGCTAGCTTCCACATTTTTCGATTCCAGGGGGCTCCGTCACAAGTGATGTGGTCGACGAACAAGCCCGCCTGTTCCACGAGGATGGTAGCTTCCATGAGAATTTTCAATAAAATGTCTCCTCTCACATTTCCTTTTGTCGCAAAAACGCCCACAATTTGGCTCCATTTTCCAGCGAAAGGCACAAACATGATGACCATGCCGTGATCACATTGCTGGTACTTGTCTTCGGGCTTCGTAAATTCTCCAAGGTCCACGAAGCCTTGAATCTGGCCAGACGCCGTCACATTGAAATGTTCTGACAATTTCATTTCGTCCACCAATAGTCCGCCGTGTCTTTCGAGGTCTGACATGCTCGCGGTTTTTTTCTTTAGAGTGTTCATTACTGCTTGATTAAAACCGAAGGCCGACTCGTATGACCTCAAGTATCTTTTCAAAGTAGTGTTGCTGGGCATCATGAGAATTTCGTTCTTTCTGATGTGCTGATAAAGCCGGGGACTCTTTAGTTTCATGAGTAAACACTCGAGGATCCACTCCTGATTGTAGCGCATGCCCTGCTTGCTGGTTTGTTTGGCAGCTTGAAAGCAAGCGCGAACACTTGCCTGCTGCTTTCGCGGTAGTGACGATATTTTATCCTCTAGTATTTTATCCGCGACATTCGCATTGTTTGCCCTCATCTCTTCGAGACGACCAGCAATGTCCAACAGCCTTGTCGCCATCCGCTTGTTTCTCTGACTCAGGACCCGCAGTTTGGTGGAGACTGAGTTTCTTCGCTCTTTTCGTTTTAGGTAGCTTTTTCTGGTGAGTATTACTTTCCTCACGTACTTGCATGAAATGCATGAAGAACCTGGAAGTATACGAGAAAAAAATTATGAAGAGCTTCCAGTTTTTTACCATGCATGTTTGAAACGCAATTTATGCACTTTCACTTTCTGTAGGCAAACTATTCTTTCGTAAATGTTAATGAGTACTACAAAAATTAGGGGCCACACAAATGTTCTAGCATTAAACAGGTTACTGATTGATTAATTGTACAATTACAAGTGACGTCTCAATAAACGTTTGCCGCACTCACCTTGTTGTTTAACCGCTCCTTTGCACGTGACACTGAAGACAAGGCCGTCGGAATGAGAGATTTGCTGCTCCAGTTTCTTCGTAAGAACGTCATAGGTGAAGTCCTTCGCCCTACCTGCTCCTCTGCAAGGGTGAAGAGATTCTGCGCAGTCCAGGACTTGTTTGGCATCTTCAAGGTTATAGGCGACCTTTTCGGAGATCAGCGTCTTCCGAACATATGTCCGACAAATCACTTCACTCCGGTCGGTACCGTAATTCATGAGCACAGTCTTTTCGATGCTTACGAGTTCACGACTTAGGGAGGCCGAAACATAAGCAATTCCGTCATAATGACGAAACTTGTGCATTGCCCAGTGGTCGTTTGGCCGGACAACGTCTTCAAGTTCAAATGCGTTGTCGCTTTGCCTCGCACTTTCGCAATCTTCAAATCTCAGTTGCGGCTCAACTGATTGCAGCGCAGTTCTTTTTGACGGCTGGTCTTCACAGGTTGGTGGTGAAGCCGCTCTCTTCTTCGTTGACTGCTCCGGTGTGGGCTGCTCGTCAGGACACTTCAGGAGATGAGGTATAATTATGGGTACAGCATCACTGCGAAGTTCCGGCTTTCCCCGCTCTATATATACTTCTCGGCCTTCGATAATATGTACATATTGCCTTAGTATGTATTTTTGCTCGAAGTGCAGCTCGCAAATGGCATCGGTGACTTGCAAGGGCCGATCAGCGCGGTTGAGATTCTGGTCCCATAGCCGGCGTCTTTCTTCGTCTTGAGGTACTCCAAAGAGTGAGAGCTTGGGCTGGTTTTTAACTCTGCTGTATCCGGTTTGGCAGCCTACGACACAACAGTAATTTCTACGCCTAGACGTGCTCATCCTCTAATCTTTTGAAGCAGCTTGGAACGCTCCGTTATGCAACCAGCAGACACATATCTGCGCACGCAAACGTGCCGTCTGCCGCGTATTCTTTGTCCAGACGGCTTTGCTCAAAGGGAAATACAAACCTACGCGTTCACGAAAAAAAGCATACATTTTATTTCATGTCACTTGTTTTTGTCTCTAATAATGTGTAAAAAAAGAACCAGGAGACAAATTGTGAAAACAGCGCACGAACGACGGTGCATCGAACAGACGACGGCGCGTCGAGCAGACGACAACATCGAGCGCTCAGCGTCCCCGCCAGCGCGTCGTGCGGCCCGAACCGCCGCACGACTCGCACGCTCCCGCCGAAACTGACGTCACTTCAGGAGAAGGCTACTGCAGCGCCACCAAATTTTCCGCCGTTTTTGCTTCACCCGCACCGCTTGCCGCCGGCCACAGTGGACCCACTCCCCCATTCTAGTACACTCTAGGCTTGTCGCTGGATAGATGGTGTTTATGACAGTACGGATGAAGAAAAATAATCGCGTAAGGTGTGTTAAATAAATTGTTTTTATGTATAAAGAACATAACAAATTTGGGCGTATAATTATTAATCTGTGAAAACAATTCTGTTGCATATATTATAACTGTGTTTTTTTGCGCTTGCGCCCTCTGACGTTTGGTGGGAGCACTAGTTCGTTACGTAGTCGTGACGCACTTCCTGAGGCCAGGTTTTGCTGAGTGTCCGCTCTTGTCTTCTTTCTCTATGAGCGGGCGACGACTGCGTGATTCACGTAGCTGACGAAGAGAAACTATTCACAACCGCCAGGGAAAAACCAGAAACAAAACAAAACGACATGTGAAAGAGATGCGCAAGTGAATAAGCCCAAGTCTGTGACTCGTAATTCTATAAAACATGCGAAGGACTATACTTTTTGCTGGGCAAATAAATACGGGAAGTATATTTAATAATAAACATTACTTTACAATAATACCTAACATGGCGGCGATGACGTAGTTTAAACCACGACCTACTGTACTCGTGACCTGCCCAGTTGGCGGCGGTCTACGGAGCTGCCTGCGCCGGCTCGGATGCCGAACTTCACTGCCTAGGGAGCGCTCGAGTTACCCCAGCTGAGCGCTGGTGGATGCATGGAAATGCATGGGTTACCGCCGGTTCGAGACGAGTTTCATCATGCATTGGGTAAATATGGCGGGTATCTTGAATCTTTTTATTTCATGTGACTTCGAGAATGTTCTTTTGCACTTTAGTTGACATTTCAGTGCATTATTTTTCAAATAGAACCGCAAATCAGATACAAACACATGTATCAGCGTGCAAAACAAGAAACAACGATGACAGAGACAGGTTGTAAAAAGTGCTGGCCCTCCAAATGTTTATTTAACTCATGATACCGGCTATACGTGTATAGAATGGTAGACTTGTCGCACACTCAGCTGGATTGAATGTACTGTCTGGACAAGAAAGTGCAAGGACTATGACATTTGACAGTGGCCGCGGCATCCAGCGCGCATAGAAAAAAAAACTCAATACAGACAATTTTGCGCATAAATAACTTCCTCTCAAATGGCAAATGTAGATCGCAGGTACATGAATAATCAATAAAAAACACTCTGCAACTGTTTTGAAACGGAACACCAAACAACTTTACCTGCAAGACTGCAGCGTTTGCTCTTTTGGAGAACAGATTAACCTCTGCAACTTCACGGTTCAGCTTGGCTATTTGCGCTTTTGATTCAGCATTATTCCTTGCCATGGTTTGGCATTTCCGGTGCGATGATTTTGCGGCACACAGCACATCTTCTGGCTGGTTATAGTTGTTTGCGTGGTCAATGAGCGTCGGTCGATCTTTTTTTTTTTTTACTTTGTCGCCAGGTGCAGTTTCAGGTGGTTCTGTGCGTTCAAATTCTGTAAGAGGGTGCATAAAGTCTGAGGATGGTCACGAAGTTGTGTTTGCGGATGCTACTGATGGCATATGTCGCTCGATGTCAAGCTCTGCTGCGTGCCGGGGCTGAACCTGTTTTCTTCCTGCATTAAAAAATTGTGTTCTGTTATATGCCTTTCCTTGAAATTCATTTTCATTGGTCCAATTCGTATGCAAGAGCCGTGGGGAGACGTCAAGCATTAAACATTGCTAGTCACTTTTTTTCTTTGGGCAGGGTCCATGTTCCTGGACATTTGAACGTTTCAAGGTGCGGCAGACTTTTACCACGGGCGGCACCATGTACTTTGGATAGCGTGGAAACACTGACGGCACAGCATTCGCTTTCAGTATTTTTATCTTTAGTCCCGGCTTATAGTCGGTTGGAGCAAAGTGCAAACAGCAGACCTTCTACCTGTCATTTGGAAGTCAAACTTCATTGCCAGCACTTTGAAAGGAAGAAGATGAATATTCAGTGAAATATTGTGAGTAAACTACAAAACTTCTTGTTCTTTTCTAAGGAGTATATCATGCAATTAGAAGTTTATACCATGGTGGCGAAGTGAATAAAACACAGTTATGAAGTGAGCGTATGACTTCACCTAGTTAACCATGTGACACACGTAACTGGCTGAGATACAATTAATACATACTAAATGAAACGGATGACCACAAGAAAGAAGACGAGGACACGCGATACTCACAACTTTTCATTAGCAGAAAAGTTTTCACGTATATGTTATTTTGTCATGCATGCGCGTAGGCGGGTAAACTAACACGTTTATATCACACGCGGTAGCACAGAAATTCAAGTTCGAACTAATTAAGCGACAGAGGATAAATATTCACTTATGCAACGATCTCTGCTCTTTTTGGTAATGTAATTAAACTACCAAAGCAATCTCGAAGAAGCTGCTTCTTCCCACAATGGGCGTGTTTGAAAACCCAGTTGCATAACGACATGTAGGGACATGGCTTCCATATGTGCACTCCTGTCATTTTTTCTTTTTTGATAATAAAAAGTTGTGAGTATAGCACGTCGTCATTTACTTTCTTGAGGTTGCTGTTTTTTTGCGCTAATATGCGTCTCAGTTTGTCATGCACCACCAACCAGGCCAGCAACTCACTCCTTTAAAGACACGTAGTCATTTACAACCCATATTACATTTTCAGCATGCCAGACAACGCCCAATTGCCCTTTCTAGAAATCAGCTTGATCCATTTTTCACCAACCTCGATCACTGGAAACTCATGAAAAGTCACATCAGAAGTCTTCCCTTGCCTCGATTCGCAGAAAGGCACGCAGCACACACCATCGTGATGGTTCATTTGCACCAAGAAACCTCGCTTCGCTGGTGTACAAACTGCACCTACCTGCACGCTTCTGTCGCTGCTCGGCACGATCGAGGAAACGGTAGCAAAAGATCTTCATTATACTTTTAAATTTATTCAAAAAGAGGCTTTTATTCATTTTTTTCCAATCGTCCAGAGTGTATGTACACGTAAACATTGCTGCTTTTCTCCCAGTGTCGCGCAAGCAGACGACAAAAAAAAAAAAAAAAAAAGAAAAGCGCGGCGGCTTATGTTTTGGTCGTCAGCAACCGGTGCGAATGGGGTAAGTTGTAGTGCCACAAAGCGCATAGCGGCAGGTTCCAGTACCAGAAAGGGCGTGCTGGCGCTTCGCTCGCTGGGCAGGTCAGTAGAATACAGTAGGTCGTGATTTAAACTATTCCTTAGTTTTTCTAAACATTACAACAAACTTTAGTAACGCAAATATGAAAACAAATAAAATAAATAAAAAAAATTAATATTGTTGTATGTTATTATTTTATAAATGTTGTTCCACCATATTGCGTAGCCTTTAAGATTGGTAACACTTGTCGACAACATTGTTATCAATTTTTGTGGTTATTAGGCTAGGAGGATATATATAAAAAAATTGCTGGAGTGGAAGCCGCCTATACTTACCCATAGAGCACAGTGAAGCCGGCGGCGGCCATCTTGTGGTGGGCAGGAAGGCGGCCGCGTAGCATATAGTGCACTTCCGCGGCCGTTTTTTTTTCGCAAATGATTGCTGCTAGAGAAGTAAAAACGTGCTCACATAGTCGCCGATACACTGGCAGTATTTAAAGAGACTACAGAACGGTTCGTTTTTCATGTGTTAAAATTTTATTTGTACAGCTTTCTCAGCCTTTAGCCAACATGAACGTTATGGCAAAGTTGTTTCACTGATTCCTAAAAATGACGAGTCTTGAAAGCAAAGACCTAACTTTGTCTTTCACGAGTTCCCGGCTTCGTTCCTTTGTCATGTGGTGCAGCCTGATCTTGATGTACAGCTCCAATACTTGCTTGCTCAAGTTGTAAATATGGTTGTCCAACACGTCGACGTCAAAAAGATGTTGTTCCAATTGTGAAAACCACCTCTTTTCCAGTGATTGACTCAAAATCTCCAGGACTAGTTGTTTGGTATTGGCATGTATGTTCTTAAGGCATTGAGTGGAAGCCTGCAGTCGACGCAGCCCCTTTTCCGCTGTTTCGCACAGTGACACAACGTCTTCGGAAGGGTAAAAGAGTCCACCTCGATTTTTTTGTCTCACCAATAGAGATGTATCCGCTCCATGAAGAGCTTCTATGCACAACTCACAGGTGTTTGTAGTAGCGATTTTGCGAGCGACAAAGCCTGCAATGTAAGGCACGACAGAGCAAACGAATGTGGAGAGGCTCTCTGGATAGTCAATTCGGTCTGTGTAATCGTGGTCCTCTGGTTGTAGGATGGCACACCTTCGCGATGTGACCTCAGTGGTTGCACAAAATGTAGTGGCAGAGGCAGATGCACCCAGAATAGAAACAATATCTTGCGAACAGTTGCCTGAGGTGGACGATCTCACTTCTGTCTGGACCAATAGACGCTTGTAAGCTGCCATGAATTGGGCAGCTGTAGGGTTGTTGTTGAACCCCCCACGTCCTCGCACACAGCCAAAGAAGTTTCTGCGTGATCTTGACTCATCTTGTGCGTGAGCAGATAGTTAAGTTGACCTTCATGAACGAGTTCCTTGAAGATACTTTCTGTGCTCTGTATACACACAAGAAAACCCACAAATCCTGTCCTCTTTGTTCCCTGCAAAAGTGGTCGACCGAATGGGTCTTTTAAAGCACATATGTACTCTCGAGCGTCGGCAAAAAATGGTTTCCAACAAGGCTCATTTTGCTTTCGAAGGGGGGCTTTGTATGATTTTGCAAACGCATTTCTGGAGTTTAGCAAATCGAAGAGATGATCAAATACCCTCACAAATTTTGCCGTGGCACTAGCACCTCTAAACTGTGGCAGCTTCAGCGTTTGCTCGCAAAATTCAAGAGCGTCTGCGACTGAAGCGCTGAGTGCCTGAACTGCGAGCCGTACCTTCATCTTTTGCTTCTCCCACTGCATATGCACCTTAGTTAGCTTATTGCCAAGGCGGAGCCCTTCCTCGCGCTGTAAAGCCTCCAGTGCCTTTATGTAAGCCCATTTTATGTGGTTTCCATCAACATCAGTGATGTAACACATTGTTGCCAGTGAATTTCTAATCAACTTAATCATGTGGCATGGGTCAAGCAGGATATGCACATCCCTTGACTCATCAACTGGGTTTTTAAAGGATGTGGAGAACTCGACAGGATCAGGCTTCAGTTCTGCACCAAGGCATTTTGCCATAGTGAAATTTGATGACGCACCATCAAATGTTAGACTGACAACTTGAACTTTCACAGATTCCAGTCGTTCAATGCATTGTTTTGTTAGTTCAGCCCTCTCAGAACCAGTGAGCGAGTGGATAAGAAAGTAGCCGACTGGAATTTTCAGCCTCATGTTTATGCCAACAACAATATAAACACAAACATTTGTGGCTTCAGGAAGGCTGTCATCATCAAGAGATGCTCCAAAATCAACGTAGCCAACTACCCTGTCTCCGACAAGTTCAACATGTTTCCTAATCGACATATCATCGACAATCAGAGCGCAGTAAAGAGTTTCAGAGCGACCTTGAACCAACTTCTCCAAGAAAGAAAATGCTTCACCTGTAAAGCCTGGTTGGCCATCAACAGACCTATACCATTCTCTGATTGTGCGCTGCGAAGGGAGGGCGTCATTAAACTTTGATCGCACAAATTCGTAGGCTGCTGGTGAGTAGAAATGTAAAGTTAGTGCAAACGTTCGCAGCTCTGGAGGGTATTTACCTCCACTTTCTGTCCGTGCCTGGTGAAGCAGCTGTTGTATGTCAGGAGAAAATGCTGCATCGAACATCTTGGAGCCCTCTTCTGACAAAAGCTTTTGTTCTTCGATGCCTCTAATAATTTCTTCAGCGGTGATTTTCTTTGTGTCAGCCTTCGTTTGCTCTGCTGCAACGTTTTAATTTTTTCTTCAAGTGCAATCTTTCGTCTTCTGTTTCCTGCAACTTCGTCTTGTACCACTGCTTTGATGGTGATACAGTGACATGATCTTCAGTATTTAAGGCCTCTTGCTGCTGAGCAGGACTGCATCCTCGAGGTTTTGGTGCTGGCCGCTTCCTTTTCACCTGAAATAAGCACATAGTGGAAATTAACTACTTTTAGAATGATATATATACTTCAATTATTGCTCATAACATGATATATGTATTCACGAAAGCATGTTCGGGAACATTCGACAATGATCATGCGCTAATCGTGTGTTGAGCGATATTGTAAACGAGCGAACGGGACGAAAAGCTCGCGAGGAAACACGCAGCAATGCAGTCACGTCGACAAAACACGACAGAAGAGATATGTCTACGTCATTCCAACCTCCTTGATGTCAGAGCACTATATCTGCGAAGTTCCGATGCTTACCGGTGCCTGGAGGTGGGCAGGAAAAGCAGCGAACGAAGTCGGCACACTTCCCGCTTTCAACCTTGTTGTTTGTCCGGTCCGGTCAAAACACGCCGGATCAAAGTGCGCAGAGCAAAGGCGATCTTTATCTGTCGGTTTCCAGTGTTCACGACGCACAGCTCGCTCCCATAGGTGCCGTGTCTCAGCATCTTTTGGAAACCTGCCAATAATTTCCAAATATTAATTCCTTAAGCCTACCAATGAAAAACACGAGTCAGCCGTATTAGACCGCGTAAGCACTACGTGCTTTCAGTACGCACCTGTGAAATGTGATCTTGGAAGCAGGAATCGCGCGATTTGTGCACCCATACGCTACGCAGGATTGTACCATGCTCGCTTGAATCGAGCCGCACGCATTCGAATGCACTGCAGAGACACACTTGTCAAGGAAAGACAGGCGCACGAACCGCAATCCACCGTCGCTGCAGGTGAACTGGCAGCGCTGGCCGCCACCGAGCCAGCCGAGCCGAGCTTTCTGCCCACCACAACATGGCGGCGCTGGCTTCACTTGAAGAGCGCTCCCTCCACTCCAGCAATTTTTTTATATATATCCTCCTAGTTATTAGGTGCCGACCTTGAGGATAGTGTCGTTTCAATCCCATCCGATCCAAATCCTCAGACGTGTCAAGTCATGATGGCGGCGGCCATGGCCGCGAACTTTGTCGTCTGCAAGTCGTCTTTCGCGCGCAACTCGGCGCTGCTACGCGGCACCGCCTGCAAATGCATGAAATCCACGAAAGCGTCGAAAAACCCGTCAGGCGCCGTCGCCGCATCGAACGGTGGCGACGCGCGGACGCCCAAGAAGTCCGCGAGCGCCGCGAACGCGGTCAAGAAGTTCAACTTCGAAAACCTCTCTCTGTACGGACCCGTGCTGAGGTCGTCCAAAGGAACTAAGCTCGACAAAGGGCTGCGTCTCAGCTACCTCGACGAGCGGGCTCCTCGGCGTTTGAAGGTCTCTAGGTTGGCGTGCGAAGAACCCGAGACGGCGAGGGTCGTCAGGGCGGGCGAGCGCCTTTTCAGGAATCAGTTGGAGGCCGAACTTCTGGACGCCCTGACGTCGACCGACGAAGAAGCAGCGAGGCTAGCGGCTGCGAGCGGAGACGCCGAGCAGAAGGTCGACGTGAGCATCCCGACAAAGAGCTTCGATCTCGAGGCGACGCTAAACTTCCCCCTGCTCAATTTCCTCCGAGATGGTGTGCCCGAAGACGACGACACTCACGTCGCCGTGCCAACGTCGCCGCCGCAAGACGAGGCCCAGGGCCCTCGCAAGGCGCCCAAGTACCCCAGCGTCACGACCATACTGAGGGACACGATCGACGAGCCGTCCAAGTTGCGACTCGAGTTGTGGAAACAGAAGATGGTGGCCGAAATGGGCGAGGAAGGTTTCAGGAAGTACCAGGAATGTAAGAGCGCATGAAGTGCGCACTTTGTTCGTCGCCTGCGCAAGGCCATCAATGCCTATAAGGACCCAATTTGCACAGCCTTCATTGCGGCAATCGTGACAGATCTGAGCAAATTAAAGGCTCGAATAAGGAATACAGCGGGTGTCCTAAAGAGAGAATGTGTGAAGGTCACTGCTTAAGCACTGCGTGGTATTATCCAGCAGCCATTTATTTCCACTAAAACATGCAAGACCTAGACTGTTGGAAATAAAAAAAACACAATTAAGAAACGTTTATAAGATTTAACAACAATAATGATTCTGCAGCAGATTATTGTTACATTAATCGGGGGACCATGGGTAAAAAACGCATAACCCGTGAAAAAGTAACACCCTATAATGTCATTTCTTCCTGCAAACAATTTATTGCTGCACAAAACTTGAAAATGAGGCGACATGATAGAGTGCATGCCATAATTACCATTTAGTTTACTGCTCAATGCCAAAAATCTGTATTCATAACTAAATGGAAAAGCTCGTGGCATGAGGCATTTCGCCTTTTTTATGAAGCCTACACGCATGCACACGCAGGTTCTCAAGTGGCACTTAGCCACCTGCCTACCTGCCATTAAGACACAACAGGCAATCTTGGCCTTTCTCGCAAAAGATGAGACCGCATGGCAAGTGCTGTGACCGATTCCTGCAGAAACTTGTGAGCTGTCGGTGTAGGGGCTGTTACAATTTTTTAACGTGGCAGCAAGCGAGGCACATGAGAAGCCCATATACACAAATTCTGTTGTGGACTGGCGCACTGAAATCCGAGAAAGGTATCAAACCAAAACCTGCCGAGAAGCTGTCTTTTCATAATTTCTTTTTCAAAGAATCACTTGACTAAGTTTGTGCCTGTAGTGCTGAAACTGTGAATACTGAAATCTGAATGTCACCACGCATTTCAGGTAAAAAGTGTATGTTTGGTGTTCAAAAACCACATGATTCACCTCCAGTACTATTTAATAGAATTTCAATAACAGTATTCGTGCGCCCTTATAATCTGGCGACACATTATAAGAAAAAATAAGTAGCATAATCACTTAAAAGGCAGCTGAATATGAGCTTCCAGCTACAAGCAGGCACTCTACACTAAGTTTCAGAACTTTCTGTCAGCCCTTTAGAGACTACAGGGCCCCTCAGCCAATAGGAAGGGCGATTCTCTCTTCCACATATATTCATCCACGCCATGTCGTCTGCTCGCCAAATTGTGTATATGCACTCGTTGCGGTTGATATGGCTGGTTTATTAACTTAAAATTACATTAAAACTCTGAAACAAGAAATCACATCAGGCCACCAATATTGCCTCTTTCACAACATTTGGTAACTTGGAGATGCAGCGTCACAGAGACTGACTCGATGCCATTTGTGTGGTATACATGTGTCAGATCGGTGACTGAGTGGTAAATAATAGGAACAGATGCAATTGTTTGAATTTATAAAAAAAACTTTACTTGAATAAGGCGGCTAAATTTATTAAATGGAGAACGCGAATGGTCGCTGTTTCTCTCCAAATGCTGTTCATCGCTCTTGTATGACTGCTTCTCCGTTGGCGCTTTTTCTTCGTGTTTCCTGCTGCAAAATTCTTTTTCTTTCTTTTTCTCATGGTGCTTTTTTTTTGTTTGCATCGAAGGAGAAATAAGTGCAAAGAAAAATAAACATATTACGTATCGACGTGGCATACCACACACTATACTAATGCCAATTTTAGCCAACCCTGCTAATCGTAAGGCACTTATATCTGAGACTATGTCTTGCTGTGCAAGCGTGTGGCTTTCTTACACCCTATAGCTTTGGTAGTGCTGAACCACAGTGGTGAAACAGAGTATTGACTGTTGTTATAAACCACACAGTCAATGAGCAGGACCATTTCTTAGTTGAGGAGGCAATTCGGCTGCTGTGCTTCGCTCCTTTGGACAGAGCCTCTCGTGCCTTGTCAACTTGCATCCGACTATAGTCAGTCGTTTCAATGGTGTATGAATCTCTGTATCTCTGTTTGCAGCAATTCTTAGCCAGGGCAAGTCGCTGCATTACAACATCCACGATCTCCTCAACGGGAAGCCGAAGGAGGAAATCGTCGGTGAGGCCCGAAAATGAGGGCCACTGGCGAAGCCTCGAACCCTTCTGGGCCTGAAATCAGCGAGGTGGCTCACCTGGAAAGCGCCTGTCTGCCACCCTTACCTACAGTATCGAGGAATCATCGACTGTGTGGCCATGTGGCGGTGCGTCTCTCATTGTGACATCTCACGTTTCTCGGGAACTCGATCTTGCAAAGATGTACACTTGAGGTCTCTTTTGTGAAAACTGGACTGACTTTCTGTCGGCACGCTACTCCCAATTCAAAATGACGAAAAATTAAATTATATACTTGTTTCACTGTGGAGGCACCAGTAAAACATGTTGCATTGGATGCCTGCTGTAACCAAGTTGCATACGGCGCTAATGTACTCAATGTATTCAATGCAATACAGTTCCACCTCATTCTGAGAAAGTTCCATCTAATGGCACCAATATTCACATTTATAACTTTGGAGGCTCAACAGCAGGCAGAACTCACACATTGAGCTGTAAGTGAAAAATGTTCTTCCTACTGCAGCATGTCAGTGAAACAGTTTGCATAAAACATGGGAGCAGCATGCAAAAGAATTTGATGCTTGTCGAACAATCCTTTCATCACTAAAAGCTTGCATCAAATCAAACTTGATTGATTCCTTACGATTTTCAAAAACATTCCAAGGTTGTTTTTGTGCCCGGAAATGATCTAGTCGCGGAGAGATAATTCGCTAAACCTAGTTTGAGATCGTTGAGAGATGCACTTTGATTGTACTGACAGATTTCAGTAAATACCGGTTATCCGGGTAAAAGGAATTCCGATAGGCTAAAGCACGAGCCATGTTAGCATGGAGTGAGCAATGCGTCACGAGAGCCTTATCATTGTTAACCTTTTACATGTTTTGTGCTTTGTTACAGTATGCGCATGCTTAACGCATTTTCACTTTCAATCGATGTGGCTGCAGGGGTGAGATGGTGCTCATAGACTGGAAGACGTCCAAAAAGCAAAAACCACGGTTGTCAGATACCTACGACAATCCACTGCAAGTGGCAGCCTATGTCGGTGCTCTCAATTATGATGGCAACTACAAAATTCAGGTAAAAGAGACTCCCGTAATTGCCTACAAAGTTAAAGTTGAATTTGATTACCTTTACTATGTAGTCTTGTGCAGCAAGTGCAAGTGTTTGCTGTCGAAGTAAAGGCAGATTTCAGCATTCAAATATGTTAAACAATTCACTCAGATTCCATGTAATGCAGCATGCCCGGCTAATAAGCTGACCTTTTATAGCGCAAATTCAACATGGCTATCGAAAATGGCTTGCAACTTGTCACATTGCGTGGCCACGAAAGGCTGTGACCAACTGCTGTTTCACATTTCTCGTGACAAATGGTGTCATGTTTGAACTTTCATTTAAACTTTGTTTTAGCGCCCACAGAAGGCAAGGACGAGAAAGATAAAGACACAAGAGCGTTGTCTTCCGTGCGTGCAAAAAAAAAAAGCTTAAATACGGATACGTACCAACTTGCCCAGCTATCAGTTTTACAGCAGATGGCATCAGTTGCTCATGTTGGTGGTACCACCTGTAAAATATCAGTTTTTACCCCGAAATTTTACACTTGGGTTAAAGAGGAAACAAGACACCAGAAGCATTTCGTTTACTGCATTTCGTCTAATGCCTCTATTTCTTCGCACTGTGTTTGTAGATGCAGCTGCACTGACTAGCTGCTGTGCTACCCTGGAACCTATTAATAAAATTAGCGTAGGCGCAATGCTAAAGGGATGGTGGAGCTTCATAGGCAGCTTTGCTTTGACGTGGCGCCGAGCCTGAAGAAGGTGCGAAGCTGGGCAGCCTTTCTTTGTTTTCCTCTTTGGTTTTCTTTTTCTTTCGTGTCTCTGTTGCTTTCTGTCTCTATTTATTTCTCTTCTCTCTTTTCCTTACTATCCTCTGTCTCCAACTCTCTCTATTTCTAGCGTGCTTCTTCTTTCACATTCTTCATGTTCCATTCTCTGCTCTCTCCTATCCTCCTTTCCTGCCCCCTTGCTATATGACACTATACAAGTCTATGCGATGTTTTGTCAGCAGTCCGTGAATAGCGGAGTGGTTGAGACCCTTGCCTTCAGATCGTGAGTATGCGGGTTCGAATCCCCCTGTCCCCTAAGGAGTCAATTGTCGTTTGCTGCCTGTCTTTAACTTCCTTTTTGGTGGATAAATGGCGACTGGTGGGATCTGCCCAACTTCGGTGGCACCCGCCTGCCCATGACGGTGATGGTTCTTGGATTACCACATTACGTAGAGGTAGCACAGCTCCGCTGTTAAAACAAGTTACTCAATTTAAACTGCTTCAACTGTGCTAACCTGTGCCAATTCTGTACAAAGCAACTATACGTGGTACAGTTGGCTTGATTAAAAAATAAGCCAATGTGCTATTTTTTTTCCTTTAGGTATTACTGGCGATGGTCGCCAGAGGCAGATTCTGTAATTGATGTACAAACCACGCTAGCGTAACTTATGTGTCGTTTGTCTGTGCACTTACTTCGGAACAGGTGCTTTAAATGCCAAAGCGTTCAGTAAATCCAAGAGTACTTACATACACGGACATTTTCTTCCCTGCCTGTATTGCTCAAATTACATTTCTCACTACCATTTAATGCTCGCACTTCATGGGTGATGCCACAATGCTGTACGATGTGGATATATTGTGTATGTAGGAGCACCAACAGCATATGTAGCCAAACCTCATCATACGGACATTGCACTTGACATTTGAATTAAAGAGGCAATAGATCATTAAAGAGGCTTGTCTCCTCGTTGTAGCACAATTTAATTACTCTAACAGACCATGAACCCAAGGGAAACAAAGAAAGCATTAGTTATAGCTTTTAACTGTAGTCTAGTAACTATGACATGCATTCAAAGAAATTGAAGTGGATGAAAAACTGACCTGTTGCTGGTGGCAACCGAACATATAACCTTCAAGAAACGTGTCTGATGTTCTGCCATCTTGACTACATCCAGTTATTATTGCGATAGCAATTATATGGACACCTTCGGCTGGATTTGGCCGCCGGCGTCGCACACCGTATATGTATACGTATGTATAGATATAAAAACACAAGAAAGAAAAAATTCAGAAAAAAAGACTCTAGCGCACGGAATCGAACGTGGGATCTCCGCGTCGTTAATGGGGGGGGGGGGGGGGTTAACCACTGAGCCACCGAGAGATACCTCCTTCAATGTTCAAACGGCAAGCTATTCATATCTACCACTTACCTCTGTTGGCGGGCATTTCGGGGGGGGGGGGGGGGGGGGGGAACTGTCGTGTTTTCTACATTATCAGCAAGATGGTGCATTGAGCGTGTGGCAGCTCTCATCTCTCAGGCGTACTTTGACCCATGGAGTGGAGGGGAGTTGTCGATCTCTAGGGCACCCTTATCTCTCAGTGGGGAGGATCGTACTTCTTGGCTGGTGTTGGGCTTACACTCCAACGATTCTGTTGTAGTTATGCGGTGCACAAAGGTCACTGCAATTGTTGCACAGTCTCCGTTTGCGAAAATGGTGCGCTTTTGAGACACAGTGAAGTAGCATGCTTATTCGCATTCATCTGTACCTGTGAGTACGTTTGTGCACCATTTGTGCATGAGAAATACGGGGCACGTTTCGATCTGCTTGCCATTCTGCGCGTGACCTTCCAATTTGTTGCTATTGCGTTCATTGCTTCACCTTTGTGGCAAAGCTGTGACTTTTTTTATAATTGTACATGTTTTACATGGCATGTCCACAAGGTAATTTTTCATTTACCATGTTATATCTATTGATTAATCTTATGCATGTTTGTTATATCGAGGCCTGACTGTGTTGTTTACCATCTAACACTCAGGATGTTTATGATGATCAGGCTTCTTTAGGTGTCTTAACATTCACAGTGATCAATACGCAAGTTTTGCCAGATTTTCTTTAATCTCATAAACGGCCAATCTAGTACCTACAACCTACTAGTATGTGTAAATGTAGTACTTCAATCCTACTTGTAGTGAAGCGTGGAAACTTGGGCAAGTTGGTAGGACATAACTAAATGTAGGAACAGCGCAACCGAGTAGTAGTTGCTGCGTAACTACGGAAGCGAAAAAACAAGGACAGAAAAGAGCACTGTCTTTCAACACAGAATTAATATCGGAGTGGTGTACATATACAGGCAAAAAAAGGAAAGAATGGGCATGCGTAGAAGGATGCTGGAACAACCACTGCGATACAATGTCAGCAAAACTTTTGTCTCTTGTTGGATGAGCTAAAACAAATACACATGTAGCTTAAAAAATATCGAGATACGCAATCTGTTTTTGCAATGCAACCGATGGGCAACTTGCACATTTGCCGTCAAACTGATTTATTTGATAGGCTTCATTTATCTCACACGTGGCCTGCGAGTGGTGCTTGCCTAATACCTCGCAACGCTCAAAGAGGGGCACACAGTCGCAGTCTCGGCAGTGGATTTTGAGGTGTCCTTGAACCACATTGTGCACATTATTGTGCTCTCTTAAACGGTCATTCAGGCACCTTCCGGTTTGCCCTATGTATATCGCTCCGCACGTTAGCGGAATAAGATATACGATATCAATAACACAAGGTACAAAGTGCGTTCTGTGTTTCACAGTGCATCTTACTCTAATTGCATCTGGATTATTCACCAACTTTCAAAGCTTTGAAAGCTTTTCTGGGGCAGAAAATACAACAGTGACACCAGCGCAGTTTACAGATTTTTTTCAGCCTATGTGACACGTTATGCAGATAAGGTACTGCAACACAGTTCATAGGAATTGACTGCATTTTAAGGCTGAGATTGCCCTCCTAATTTTTAATTTGCTTCAAAAGTTTTTCCGCAACAGCAGAAATCGGGGTGTTCGAGTAACCAGCGCTTAAGAGGCACTCTACCTGTGCTTCGAAACTGCATTGCATCGAGTGTGGGCATGAACTCCTAAGAGTGTTTACCAGGCAAACAATAATGATATTCCTTTTCGCCAATTTGAATGAGTTTAGTGAAAAGGTGAAAGAGGTTTACCACTTCTTGGTGAAAACAGCCTGCACAAATGATTGCTCCAAAGACAGAGTGTTAGGTCTAAGAACCTAATAGAATTACCAGACGGTAGTTCGCGAGTAAGTTCCAGAGGATACAAGTGCTTCTTAAACAAACCTAGAAGACTAGGGACAACAACTTCAAAAACAGTATCTAAACAATCAACAAATACAATGAAATCATCAACAAATCCACAGACCTTCACAACAAGAGACAAGTCAAGATCTTTTTGAATGTGGCGACCCTTATGCGCGAGAAAGATGTCACTCAAGACATTGTATCACAGTGGTTGTTCCTGCACCCTTTTACACATGCCCATTTTCTCCTTTTTTTGCCTATATATGTACACCACTCCAATACTAAATCTTTGTTGAAAGTCAGCGCTCTTTTCTGTCTTTGTTTTTTCGCTCCCGTAGTTACACAGTAACTACTTCTATCTAGGTTGCGCTGTTCCTACATTCAGCTACTTGTAGTGCTCAGTATTTTATACGATATGGAGCGGGAGTATGTCATAGTAATCTCTTGCGCGTTAGGGCACGGAGTTACTAGTTCATGTGTGTACCCTCATGCAATACCAGTCAAATAACATTTCTAAAGAAATGTTCTAAAGAAACCTAACCTAACAAGTTGCATGCCTGTCATTGTGAGATTGGTTTCATTAGTGCCCCCCCATTTAATTTAATTCAGTTTATTTTCACATTTGGCTTAGAAAGATAATAATGCCAGAAATATTATCTAGTGTTTAACATCCCAAAACCATGATATGGTTATGAGGAACTCCGTAACGAGGGACTCTGTAAATTTTAACCACCTAGTGTTCTTCACATGCAACGACATCACAAAGTACATAGGCCTCTAACGTTTCGCCTCCGTGGAAATGCGACCACCACAGCCGGTGTCGAAATAATAATGCCAAGGGCAACAAGCATTTCTTAAGAACGTGTTTCTTAGCACAACTGCTATATACGTATGGGATGCCCGCATATCTAAAAAGAATTACAAACTCTAATTAAAGGAACATTTCAGTGAAAGCACATTTCCCGCCACAAATATAGTGTGTGTAGAGAAAGAGAGACCATGTGGAAGGCAGGTAATCATAGCATTAAGGTGACGAGTGACTTTGTTTGGTTGAAAACTGCGATTTTCAGATTTTGTCATCATCTAATAAAAACATCTTTTATCTTTCATAAAGGTTATCTACACTTGGGTACTCATGGTTTAGAAAACTATTTTTAGAACTTTTTCTTCAACACATTAACAGGAAATAAGGGTGTACCATTACGTTACCTTTCTTTTTTTTATAACAAGACTTGGTATACTTTTTTTCCGGTGACTATCTACCATGAGCAAACAAACATATGTACATGTGTTAACTCATGGAATTCACATAATTGTAACTAGAATCAATAGCCTAAGTAAACCCGTACTGTTTAGTATGTAAATGCCATTCATAAGTGGCAATTTATAGGACATTGACAAATGTATAAACGAACAAGATGTAGTTTAGTTTCTACACTCAAATTGTTCCACTTCTGTAAAATGTTGGTTACCACCTTTGTATGAAATACCAATGTTCTGCAGGTAGAGTTCTACATAAAAGTACAACATATGCAACTTGTATTCATTTTTTTTAATTTCTTGCATATTCCATACAGCCAAAATCTGAAAGTCATATCATTGTCTCACACTTTACTTAAACTGACTGCCACGTATCAGTGCAGTTCTGCATTTTAAGGAATTAGTGAAAACAGAATTTATAACTTCACATTTCTATTATGTATCTACCTTGATCATTAGTGGCAAAAGCCTTTGCTCTGTTTTGTGCCTGCTGCAAACCCAGGTTCGCGATGCGATGATTGTGATCGCATACGAGGACGGCAGTCCGTGCCAGGTCCATCACCTGGGACCCACCCTTTGCCAGAGGCACTGGCAAAGATGGCTGCAGAGGGTACGCACCTACTGGAACCAGCTGAACCAGAGCACAGCGATGTTGTGATTGCCGAATCCAGAACTTGTTACCGTGCTTGCGTTACTCGGTCATGGACAAACCATAGAGAAGCGATTCAGCCATGCGTTAGCTTGGTTCTTTTTTTGCCCTGGAACTATGTTGGATGACCACCACCGCTGGACTTTGACACAGCTTTCCTTGTGTCACTAAAATATAAAAAAATGGTGGTTGTGCATCTGAACAGTTAACCTTGCTATGCGATGAACGATGGCCTTATAATTAAATGTGCAATTGTGTATTGCACTTTTTTGATGTTGCGTTTGTGTATCAATCACGTTGTGGCCTACAGAACCAGGAACTTCAGATGACTGAGGTCACAGCATCCTGTAATGCTCTTTATATACAAGCCAAAGCTGTCAACTATTCACATTTGTCGAGAATAGTCGGCATTGCCCTGAGACCACTCGAACGCAAAAGCCATCTTCTTTTTCTTTCATTCGATTCATTGTTCCTCACCCACCCTCCTTCTGAAAGCTCTCTGGATGTAATGTGGTTTTGTACTGCTGCCAGGATTCGAAGGACATTACAAGCTTTGTACACGTCATCTGCTTTCGCACTACCTCTATGATCAGTCCACCAGTCACGTACGTCATAACATGATGTCACTTTACGAGATTTCATTACGATGTCATCACATTACGATTTGTGTATCGCTCATGTTGATGCCGCTAGCCAATTTTCACGTTTTATTAGGAATATGACATATTCGCCATAATATTGTAACTGCTTGGTAAAGAGTACCAATAATCAGCCAAAGCGGCCAAAATAGTGAAGAAAAAGGGCATTGCTCCTTCTCTACATAGCCCCTTTTGGCAATTTGTCCTACTGTTTACCAAGCTATACTATCGGTGTCAAATGAAACATGAACAGTGAAGCGTGTCGCCCATACATTAGGAAGTCTATGGTACACATTGTACTGTCACCATTGAGTGGTGCGCACACCCACAAGGCAGCACTGCACAATCAAAGGAATGAATGAATGTGGCTCACGAGTGGCAAACCACACAAGTGTACATGCGAACTGTAGCAAGCGAACCACTGCCGACATTTAATTTGGCGCTAATAGTACGTGTAAAAAGTTTTAATGTCCATCCAGCTTGCCAAATCTACACTAGCTATCCGCAATAACACTCTGGTCGGTGAACTATCACAATGTCACAACAACTGCGACATAAAATAAAGATAAGCGAAACAGTTGCAACAGTGGGATCACCGTTGTCACAACCACGTTTCCACTGGAGCCCAAAACCCAGAGTAACAACAGGCACAAATTACGACCAATCAATGCCAGCACGGCAGCTATACACATCAAACTGACATACACAAAAGTGATGGCACAATGTTGCAACAGTGAGATCACAGCTGTAACAACCAAGTTCCAACTGGAGCCAGAGGCCCAGAGTCACGATATCATGATTGTTGCGACTCTGGGACTCAAGCTATGAAGTGCGATGCCTTGGCGACCACTATACCACATGCTTCGTCAGGCAGAATAGGACGCCTTTTAAACGTCCAACGTGCAAGGAAGTCGGCCCAGACGCGTGATGGATGTTCCACAATGCTGATGGTTTCCTCAACAATTTTCTTTGTGCAAGCGAGCATGCTGAGATGCTTGACAAGCTTTCAGATTACCAACGGCGTCGACAAGTTGTCCCTATGGTTTATGCACTAACCGATATAATGCCAGTGAATTTCGGCTGCAATTTTTTCTCTGCAAACATCTGAAACATAGTAAACAAAGACAGGAGCAATTTCGAGTTTTTTATTCTTTTATTATTGTCCATGTGCTTGTCTCCTGCCGAGCCGTGGCGAAATACCCGTCAACGCTGAGAAAAACCTAACAGCATCGAAATCCTTAAGATGGAAAAAAAAAGAGAATGAGGAGGCGGGAGAAGAAGAGGGCAATATTGACACGAAGGAAAAAGGTGGGGAAGGCGTAAAATCACTGCTCAAAGAAAGCTATGAAAAGAAAAAAAAAACGCGCACACACTGAAATGGTAAAGACAGGTTTCGGCCCCTATGTTTGGTTTGCTCTTCGATTACCAATTGCGCGCAGCAAGTGCACTCTGGTACACAACAAACACACACACAGAATCACGCACGTCGTCATTATTCTTCAGTGTCTCTGCTGCACGTTTATTAAGGGAGTGTTTGAGGAAAGTAGGGGAAAAATGAGTCACCACGGCCCTCGTTCACGATTCCGACGACGATGACAATAATTATATTCACTGTAATGGCAATTGTTAACAACAGTCATTGTACAACACTGGGGGGGGGGGGGGGGGAGATGATGTGAAAGTTACAATGGCATACGCTAAGGGGCAAACGAGAAGCCAGTGGGTTGGGAGATGCGTGAGCGGGCAACAGACAACGTCGTAATGCTAGAAGAGAAATCAAAAGAAAAAAAAAAAAGGAGTAAGATAGAGATGTGTAGCGCTAAGACGAACCAACTTGGCTCTTCAATATTTAAATAATGTTTTTTTTTCCTCTGTTCTCTCGTGTGCGCGCCTGTATTAGTCTACAAGTCGCTTGTGAAGGGGGGTGATTGAGTGAGTGTGAGAATGAATGAGTGAATGTGCAGTCTGCATGTTTGTATTTCCCGGAAAAAACGAACTAAAGTTTCTTCGCTCCAGAAGGAAATCGAGGAGAGCAGGAAAAGAACAACCTAAATACAGTAGACTACACAAAAGTAAGGAAGAAAAAGGCAGGGGGGCGAAGCCGATGCTTCAACATCTGCCACACACACGCACACACTACGCGAGTCGTCACCGGCCAGTCAGTCAGTTGGGTGGCGTTACCTTTTCCGCAACGACTCCGCGAGAGCTGAATGCCATCGCAGCCTGTAGACAGGTAATCAACGAGTCTGCGGCCAATCGAATATACCGGCACTGTTCCCGATTTCCTTCGATTTGTTGCTGGCAGCCATTTTGCCATTTTCGCTGGTGGTTTTTTGGGTACGGCTACCATTGCTGCTAGGCAGTCTTTGCGATCCCTGGTCGCGGTTTCATGGGGAAACGAAAAACAAAAGTGGATGTGAAGGAGGACGCTTCATAGCGGTGCTCCGTTTCGTGTCACCAACGACTGAAAGCATCCGTTCCCACTCAGTGGCTCGCCGCTTCCTCTGCTTGTTCACAATCGTGCGAGTGGCTCTTTACCTGTCAAATCGAAAAGAATGAATAGCCTGTAAGCCGGACCTTTATTGCTTAAATGGTGTGAAAAGAAAATGAAGTCCGCGAACTGGGGGAACAGAGAAATGGACGAATCATTGCACAGCCTGGGCACACATCCAGACATTCGGCAGATATCCACACTTCCATCCTATACCTGCGTGTGTGAAGAATAGGGTATCGCAGTTTCACTAGCTATGGCCAAATATTACTCTATAGTTTTGATAGACTTGCAAGTATAGGGACCTTTAATAATGATATTGCACAGCCTGCGCCGAAAGTTTAAAGGCCACTCCACAAGTTACAGCAACTGCTTTTTTTTTTATACCACACTGCCAGTCTTTGATAGTAACCCTGTGTGAGCACTTCGAATATGACAAAGAATATTTTAGCATTCGAATGCTCCTCGACACGAATTCAACATATATGAAATTTTGAAGAATACGAAAATAACAAAGGGTACTATTTTACTGCACATAACTAGCTTGAAGAGGTGGTTTTACTGTAGCATGGAAATGCTTTGCCATGAGGCCACCCGATCCAGACTTCAAAGCCAGACTTCAAAGTTAAGTGTATATTATATGAATGCGGATTCATTCTAATGAAATATTCAAAGTGTGTGGCCTCAGTATGGCAAATTTTAGAACAATACATATTGTCACGCAGCAAAGGACGACGCAGTTCTCTATGAGGAAAACAAGTTTATTGGAGCGAACCTGTGCTCCCCTAACAACTGAAAAAATACACAGGCGGCGAAGCAGCGGCCAGCAAAACGACGGGCACGCTAGTGAGCGTCGGCGATCGAATGACGCGGCATCGGCTGTGCGGGAATTTATATCCCTCGGCGCGAGGGTTTCTCGAATAGTCGAATTGTATCGGGAACGCCGTGATAGCGTTTGTCAGACACGCTGTTCGTTCGAACAGCGTTTCTAACAAACAACGCTTGAAGTGTTGTTTCTATCGAACAACGCCTGAAGTGTTGTTCGATAGCGTTTGTTCGAAGCGCTGTGAAAACGGCGATAGCACAGGCCGGCGCAGCCAGGCCGAAAAAACAAAACACAAATAAACAAACCCAATGCATGGTTCGCGGCAATATTTTACTGCTTAAAACTTGCAGCCTTATCTTTAATCAAATCCTGGTACTATTCGAGCTCACTTCGAAATAATTTTATACTAATTAACATTCAACTGTGACTTCGTTTCGAACGAAAGCGATATTCACGCAAGGCTCTTTGTTTAGATTGTTCACACTCTTAAAAGTGTAATGAGACGATGAGAAAAATTAGCTCAAACAGCAAGAAAAAAAAAGTACCCAGGTATTTCATGTGCACAGATTTGGACTAAAGTGAACTTAAGACAGGACTGAACATAATTCAATCCAAAGAAATTAGTTTCTGCAGCCTTTAGGAAAGATTTAAAAAAAAAAACATTAAAATAGAGATAATTGAAAAAAGAAACTTTCTTCTGAAATATCGAAACTGATCCATATATCTAGTTTCAAAAGAATCGCTACACACTTTAAACATAATAAACAAATATGCATAATAAACATTCAAGCAAAATAAGTATTCTCTGATGAACATACAGAAGTTCGAGCACACGTTTCCGTTTACTTCAAACATAAAATGCATGTTCATTGAAAACAATAAGATGCATGATCGGCACATCCACAGCCTTTCAGAGAGGAAATATGAGGATTAATAAAGAGAGTTAAGCAAACATAGTAAGACATGATGCAGCATTTGTTTTACATAATTTGTTCGACCATGTGGTACATACCAGGTTTCTTTGTGATGTGTACTGAACGTGCTTGAATTTAAAGTTAGTTGTGACAGATGCCCTAGAAAACCTATGCTATTTTACTTTCCATTGAAATCCGTTTCTTCGAAATTGTATTGTACACTGCCTTTACTGGCATGATATCTAACTGGTCAAAAATAGAATCAGTGGGTGCATCGAATGGAGCATTTGAAATCGTTCGAACGGCTTTCTTTTGCAAGAGGAATAAAATGTTGATGTTTGAGCTGATAGTGTTAGTGTATGGCTTTATCTTCAAAAAATTTCAACTGCATTTTTATGTGCAAAAACCACAATTTGATTATTATACCACTGTCACACTGGACGTTTTCATGTGATTAAAATGCAATGACATTTGCATCTAATGACATGATGTGGCTGCTACATAGCTATATATATTATATACATAGCTATATATAATTAGAAATTATTTGACTAAAAACAAAATTATTTGACTAGAAATCAATAGACTAGAAAATGGATTAGTTTTGTACTAAAATTATTTTGCCATACTTGCCATTGTTTGTTCTCTATGTTATTTTACATCGTTCATATTTCTGTGTACCAACTTTGCTTTTAATGTAATTCTAAATTGTTGTTACCTCATAATGAGCCCCCTTACCAATGCCTCTGCGATGCCTGTAAGGTATTTGTAAATAAAATAAAAAAAAACGAATTAGAATTGAATGACTTAAGCAATTGAATGAGTCCGAGGAACACATTCGCCGTCACAGTCGAAACAAATGTATGCTTTCCACCCCACAGGCCACTTAGAAGACGGCATTTGGCATTCTCAATTTGACCTGCATTCATGAAAACACGCTATTAATGGTACTTTATTTAAGGCATCTGTCATTTCAACGAGGACAGGAGCACGGAAGGCTGTCGTAAGACGTCTTGACTCTCCACCTCAGTGGCGCCTGGGCACTGGCGCAGTTGGCTACGATGTAAACAAGCCTCTGTGTCCGTGTATGCGTGTATCTGCAGCGATGGCATCAGCTGCATGAGCGCAATGAACCAAGGCGAAGACGTTTGCTCTCATAAGGCTGTGGCGGTTCCATTGCAAGTTCTAATTCAGCGCTGTGTTCTCGTCTCTTCTATCCCCTCCTGTCGTTTGCGCTGTTAAGCACTTTCTTTGTCTACCATTGCAAGCTGTTCGCTAGTGAGGACGCATGTGAGACGGTGTTTTGAAGCGGGAAAAACGCGGAACGCTCTGGGTCTTTAAGTGTGCGGTGGCACCACAAACTCAAAAAGCACCATGTGTGCATCTGTTACTTAACGATCTAGAAAACCTAAACAGACGCCACAGTTTTCTTTACCTTTTTTTTTTCTCGTCACGCCTCATATGTTGTGGCACTTCGTTCATTCTATCGGCTGTGGCTTCTGGCTACGCGGATCGTCTTGGCTCATGGTGGCCATATATTTTGCGATATTATACAATTTATATGCATGGTTATTTAGCAAAGCGACATTCCGAGTGTCTTTCAAAATGAATAACTTCAGTTTTCTATCGCACTAAATGCACCTTGCTCACCTTTTTCGGTAATTTTTTTTAGGGGCGAAGCTCCTTAGGGCGTGGGCTGTGCGTCCCCTGTAGCCTGTATGTAGCCACCTCTAGTTTAGTTCTTGCAGTGTTCACTAGATGGCGGTACCGTCCCCTGTATGTAGCCACCTCTAGTTTAGTTCTTGCAGTGTTCACTAGATGGCGGTACCGTCTCCTGTATGTAGCCACCTCTCGTTTAGTTCTTGTAGTGTTTACTAGATGGTGGTACTTGTAGCTGATGATAAAAAGATGCAAGATGTTATAAACTAGAAAGCGGTACTTGTAGTTGATGAAAGACGCGAGATCTTATAAAATAGGAATGATGTCACATATGGCGCGTGTCATTGGTTGAAGGCAATCGTTCGATTTAGTGCGGCGACGTACGCTAGGGGGAGCGTTGTAATAAAATCCGTTCGCTGTTGGCGCGTGCTCGGAGTCGCCGGATGGATAAGGCTGCACAGCGGAGAGAGCGCAAGGCGGCAGCAGCGCGCGCTCGCAGACAGAATCCCGATGTGCGAGCGCGCAAGGCAGAAGCGCTTCGTGAAGCTGCGCGCCGCCGCCGCCAAGATCCTGCCGTACGTGAAAAAGAGGCTGCAGCGGCGCGACGCCGCCACCAAGATCCTGCCGTGATCGACTGGGCGAATTACACGGAAGATTCACAGTTTACCGATGAATCCCTCTGGAGCTTCGCCCATTCATCATCATTCACCCCGTGAATATGCCGTAATTTTTTAAAATTATCTACATCGATATTATTAACAAATGACATTACTTTTTCTTTTGTAGCATCACCACGGATCAAATGGCATTCATTGCTCCGAATGACAATTGAACCTCATGACATTAACACTTCCAGTGTGACAGGGCCATAAGGCATGCCATAGTGGGGTTTTTTAAAAGTGTGTCTAGTATGTAGATGAATATTTTGGCATTAGATTCCCAACGAAATGGAGCCACAGTGTTCACAAATGGAACCCATGCCCTCAAGCTTAACAGTGAAACACCCCATCTCTTGACATGGGGAGTGGTTTATATATTTGCTTTTAATTTTTATTAAGCTTGAATAAGTTGTACAAGTACAACAATATTATGATAAACCATGCAGTAAGAGGTCAATACACCCTAAAGTATCTAATAATGTCCTGGGCCAGATCAAGACATCTACACATTACAATCAGACAAGATGCAACACGATTGATTGTGGCCAGTCAGTCGTATTGCCTGACAAGTGACCAGAAATGGACCCTGGCAAAAGACGAAAGAGACTCTCACCGACTCTGGTGACGTGGACGGGGGTTTTAACTTGCTGTACACTTCCTCGATGAAACTCCTCCTACAAAAACAAAGCGCCAAATAAACCTTGACGAAGTGCTGTAAGCTTTCTAATCTTGCACACAGCAATTGTCTGTGCTCACAGATTACACAGTGTGAATTGTTAAAATACAGTAGACTCTCAATGAACCCAAATCTGTTAAGGGGTGACATGGGTCTTAGGGCTCTCTCATTTATTTTCGAACCAAATGTGACAAAAGTTGGCATGCTTACTTAGTTTGTTCTCCTGATTCTGAAAATGTAGTGATTTTTTCTGTAGCTTCATTAGTTGATTAAATAATCAAGATAAAAATTTCCATTGTTCTTGCCACAACAGAAAAATAACCACCAGTCAAAAATTTATAAGTGACATAGGGATTGACAGTAGAAAGCATAAGACATACAACATAGGAAGCACTTTTCTGACTAGGTCATTATTTCTTACTTTACGGTACACTAAACTTCACAGCTCTGAATGTGGCCATTGTGTGGTCACACAAAAGACTAGTTTAAAAAACTTGAATCAAGAGCAATCAAAATCTGCTTCCTATGTTGTGTGCTCCAAACATACATCTTCATGCTGCAAAAAAAAAAAATATTTGCTGTCCGTAATAGTTTGCGATATATTACAGTAATTTTCATGCAGGGTGTACAAAATTGCCATTTTGAGAAAATGAAGAAAACAAAGAATTCTAACATTTTTAACTGTAAAAATGTATGTACTTAGAATTACATAGCCATTGACGATATAAATGAATGCTAGAAAGCCTAAGAGTGCAATACTGCAAGCTCATCGAAAATTGAACTGAGTACTTCTTAAATTACAGCACAATAAAGTTTATTGCATGTAAACAAAAACAAAAATTTTTATAATAAAATAAAAAAAGAAGTTGCCCAATAAAAATAGGCTCTCAGCATTATTTATTTGTGCACATTTAGCTACATTGTGCAAAAACAATTACAGCTCTAGCTGTCCTAGGTCCACTTTTAGCGAACATGCAAAAGAAAGTGGTCAAAATCTGTGCTTTGAGAATAATGCTGTTAAAACTTAATTTTGCCGTTCCGAGGGAAAAATATTATGGCACACATACTTTTAGTCAGTTAATATGCACCGGGAATGTAATAGGACTGATTGTTTCTACGAGCATGTCGTTTCTTCTAGTCCTGTAGCAAGTTGTCACCGTGTGCTCATCTGCCGCGAGGCCGCTTATCAGTTCGGTGACTGTACTGACAACGATGTGCGACAAATGTGCGTGCGACATCCACGATCCGTCGAATAACGCGGCAATGTTTTCCGGGTTGTCCGGAATAAGTTACCCGTAAGTGTCGCAAACCAACGTACTTCCTCGCTCATCAATTTCGAGGCTACACATGCCGAGGTGTTAGTTTCCTTTTCACGTAAGACTGCCGCATTTTCAAGCGGAGATCGCGACAACGTTGAGAACATGTCGTTTTAAAGCAGTCTACCTGTTGCCAGTAGCCTCCATTCCGGGAGCCGCGAGCATGTTCACTGCGGACGGATTGACTTTCTGTTGTTGGTCGACGCGCGGCGTACTCCACTCTGACGACCCGTTGCGCAGTTCAAGGTCCTTTCGTCAGGCGGGGAACCACGACATTGGCAGGTTTAGCGATAAGACTGCGCTTCCGTTCCGTCACTAAAAAGATTCATATCTCTTGTAGCTTCACTTCTGATTTTTAGTTGCCGTCCTCTAACTGATGAGGCTGCAAAACACAGCCATTCTCAGTAACATTGTCGGCAACCAACGAGCTCGTACGTGAGTTAGGCCTACACCGTGACTCGGCGAGCGCCGTTAACCGCGTCGAGTTCGTTATCCTCGTTGTCTTGAGCCATAGCGGGGATCTTTTTGAAGTTCACAGCGAACGAACCACCGCCACACTCGCTTCACAAATTACTGTAGCACGGAACTTCTTTACTGCCGCAAGCAGTCAGTAGCACCATAACAAAATTGCACATGTCCGTGCGCGTCACGATGGTGAAACAGACGCCGAAAGCGTTCCTTGACCAATCGGGTGTCTAGGTTTTGTCACGTGCCCCAAGCAGCCAATTGAATCGTGCGCTAGTGCTTCTCGATGACCTGTTTTTGCTAAAGAACCAATGAGCAAGGCGAGCCAGCGGTGGCGGGAAATTGAAGATGAAGAACGACCCTTCCAAACGAGACCAAGATGAAAACGATAGCTAGTGTGTAACGGCAACAGTTAGGCGCGGAAAAAGCGCGATTTTAGCGTCAATTTACGCTCACATTCATCTCACAGGGAGGTTATAAATTGATTTTGCACCAGAAATAATGACGCGAGAAGATAGAAACTTCTCAGATAGGTGCAAAAATAGATACAGATTCCGAAAATGTCAGTTACAAAAAGTCGATTTTTTTGCGATTTTTTGGCCTTCTAAGACCCGTGTCCCCCCTTAAACGGAACTACCATTTGAACTGAACAAGTGCCTCTGCTATGTTTGGTTTGAGACTTGTATTCTGCACTGCTATTCATCTCTCCGTAAACGAAGCTCCTGTTAAATGAAACATATTTTTCCAGTCCCTTCAAGTTCCGCTTACTTGGAGCCTACTGTACAGCATTTCAGCAAATGATCCATACACAACAAAAGTTCAGGCCATGGCATAAGAACAATTTAGGTGTTGACAGTGCTCGCCCGCCGCGATAGAGAGTGCGTTCAGGTTATGTTTGGATATAGTACGCATGCTGGCTACCGTCACTTGGTGGCACTGCAACAGGAGCTCCTCGAGGAACCGCGTGCGACAAGGCGAAGGCACGTGCTTCTTCAATTTTGTCTCTCGTCTAGCAAGACGGTGTTACTGAAGTGACTGTCAGTGGTGTTTCGAACTATTGTCCATGCATTGCCATGTTTACAGCGCAAGATAAGTTTCGTTCCACAAAACCATCAGAGATAACATCGCCTTCATTGTCTGCATAGAACGAGCACGGCATCTGCCTCCCTCTGAAAGAGCATCAGCTGAATGCTACAGTCAGGTCAGTTGGGTATCAAGTCACATTGCACAAGCAACAGTCCCTCGTAAAGCCATTCGCTTATGTACAGCTTCATGCACACTACGTGTACAATCAAGTTCAAATCGATGATTTGAACTGGGCTGTTCAAAATGATTATTTTAACAGCCCAGGCACCTCAGTACGAGACACTTGAGGTGCCTGGACTGTTGTACAGTTATACATCTCATGTGGCGTGAGCGCACTCTCAGTAAAGCGCTCAATATAGGCCATAACAAGGCTACTAATGCTCAAACTCTGGTTAAAATGAACGAACAAGACATAAAAAAATTGAACAAGAATAGCCAAGAAGTAATTCCATTAATTACTTGAAATCACTAAAATATTTCAGAAACGTGGGGCTGACTCGAGCGAGGCACAAGAGAAGCCACCACTGTTTCGCTGAGAGAGCGTACGCCCCTCCCCATGCGCCACCTCTGCTTCAGCACTACATCGCAACACGACTACGTACATCTGATGGGGGAGACAACCTGACTAAAACTCGCTGCAGACGACATCGAGTACTACTCAACTGCAGTAATAAGCAGGGCATTTTATAACGTGCTGCAAGAGCAGACGACATGACTCGAAGCGAGGCCCAAGAGAGCCACCCACTGTTTCGCTGAGAGAGCGTACGCCCCTCCCCATGCGCCACCTCTGCTTCAGCACTACATCGCAACACGACTACGTACATCTGATGGGGGAGGACAACCTGACTAAACTCGCTGCAGACGACGCGTATATCAACTGCCGTAATAAGCAGGCATTTGATAAGTGCTGCAAAGAGCCAGCGCACATGTTGCACAACCAAGTTTGTGATCTCCCTACTCGTGCAGCAGAAACCCTAAATGCTTACCTCAAACATTGGTACCATTGACGCTTTGGTAAATGGAGAACAAGAATCGCTGTAGTGGAGTTGCCATATATACATTTTTTTTTTCTATTCTCTGTAGCAGTTTTATATTGCACTTGGCGTCATGACACGAAACCAACTTGCCCAACTTCCTACTGTGCTAAAGACAGGTATGGTGGCACGGAAGGGTCCTATTATTGGCCACAGACAGAGAGAAATTCTGCTTACTTGGCGAGAATTCCTCCACCGGGCGGAAGGCCAGGTAGTTCCTCCTCCGCCAACGTCTGGATAATGTTGTTCAGCTCCGCGTCGGAGCACTCCGAAATTATTTCTGAAATACAGAGGAAGCAGTTAGACGCGGAGTTAGAGCTCTTGCTATCACTACAGAATCAGTTCGGGTGCTCTCCCTAGAAGCAAGTGGAAGGCGAAGGGAGAGTAGCTGTTAACTCTTTAAGGCAGAGTTACAAAATGATGAGGAAACCACTGTGTGATTTCCATGCCCTCTACGCCCTTAAGTAACCAGCAGTACACATATATACTGGCAGATATGCTCTAATAATCAGAAATTTTACTATGTTAGACGCCACGCATGAAATAATAAAAGCAATATCTCCACCAAGTTGTCCTCGCAGGGACTTCGCCTCCACTCTCACGCCCCCCCAACATGCGCAGTCGAGTCCACGGTGTGAATGGGTCAAACAGCATTCCACCAGCCGTGCGATTGACAGCTCTGTGCGCAGTAATATTGCCAAATGCATTTTTGCATTTTGACTTAATCAAGAAATGCAGCCACTGTGGCCAGAAATACAACCTGCGTCCTAGCTGCTAAACTATCATTGACGTTGGATCGTGAGCAATGTACAATTCTCGTCACTTGCCTGTGATCCTTTTCTCAATGAGCTGATTGAGCTCACGATCGTGCTGCAGCGCTTCATCGCTCACCGATGGTGCACCGGGGAACAGCACAAGGACAATGCTCATGTTGTCCTTGCTTCCCTGCATATCGTAACGAGACAGGCAGGGATGTGATAATAACTCAATACTTAATCTTTATGCATGTTTACTACCAAGCACAGACGGCAAGAAAAGCACTTGCGAAACAAAGGCAGACTTTAGCAATGCAATCTATTAAATGTACCATCTATAAGTGAGGTACTTGCTGATTGCTTTATTTTCTAGATTAAACCACTACCCATGCAATAGAGTTACTTTTTTTTCATTAAGGTAATAGTGAGATATACTAGTGGTGCAAGGCTTAAACAAACAGCACAGCTTGTAGAGGACCTAGATTATTAGCACATGTCTCAATCAGCAAAACCCTAATTAGTCTGGTGCTAATTAGCACTGCCTTAATTTACATAATTCTAACTTGCATTTTTCTATCTACATTTCTATCTGCCGTTGTCAGACGAGAAGGGGAGTGGGCACCCAGGCGCCTTGTCCCAGAGCTCGCATTATAAAGCTCTCATCTTCTAATACATCCGCCCTGGCAGGTCCTCCACCCCGGGTCACAGGGCGGAGAATTTTTCTATAGGGCGAATGGCCCTACCCGAACAAGGGTGCAATGTGCGTTCGGTGCAAAGAGCCAAATAGTCGCGGCAGATCTTGCGGCCCTATGCCAATGAGAAGGCTTGCCTTCACCAGGCAACTCTTTTGTGTAACAACCGATGTCACCACGCAAGGAGCTGGAGCCAATCCACACCACCTGGCAGCTGAAGTCCGCCAATGCTCCCTATCCTATTCGGACAAGTAGGCTATCATCTGGCATGACGAAAAAAAGATCGGCACGCACAAGACAGACGTAGTGAAAACATGCCTGCTGGTTTCCAGCTAGCGAGAGGCATGTATTGCAAGCACAACAGTTTTGCGCAGGCAAACAAAAAACACAGCAGCGTGCAAATGGGCAAGTAGAAGAGGCCAACAAGATTCTTTCTCTGCTTCCCATTCTCTTTATTCTGTGATTCACGCTTGTTTTCTTCTGAAGGCACATGTTTTGAAGAAAAGCCTACATTTCACATCTTTTGTGTCAACCTCAATGAATGTGCTGGCCACAGGTCTTGTTAACCACATATTTACTATGCAATGCAGAAAAACGTCCCATAACTATCATCTCTTGAATGCACATTGCCAAAAGCAAACTGTATTATAGTAAATCCTAAGATGAAGAAGAGGACGCAAAGAGTGTGTGCTGGCCTAATTTTCGTGTTGCACGCAGTAGGCACAGCTGTGCCTGGCAGGCCATTCGTGATGCCGATATTTCAGGAAACTGACCTTAAAAAGCCTTGCCAGTAAAACAAATCACATATATATTCAGTAGATCTACATCTAATTCGCAAGCATACCAAAGTTCGGCGTTCAATCAAGGGCAAAACAAGGCAGTACAACTGCTCATTATGACAGCCGAGACGAAACTTGAAGCGCATACAGAATTCTCGCTCTCTCAACCAACCATGCAATATCACACAGTGCTCATACCCAAGGCATTCAGAAACATTGACAGCAAACTTGGCAGGAGAACAGACTATATATCCCACCTTTGCCACCGCATGCGGGCACATTCCTACAGTGATCCGAAAATCACCACAGCTTGATCGAAACACTTGGGACATTAAAACACCAGATATTATTATTATTATAATTATTATTCATCAATATGCAAGACCTGCTGCCACGTAGATCACAGCATCCCCAGCTAATTTCAGCCAGTACACTTGCCATATCGGCACGTACAAAGGCATATGCTGTGGGAATGCAGGAAGGTTTCCTTGCCCCTATGTCACTCCTGAATGCGCGCGGGTGCCACAAGCCAGGACAATAGGGTGGCGGCAATGCTGCTTGCCTTTGTGCAAGTGACATGTACTTGAAGCAGTCCCACGTGACACACCATGTTCAGCCATGCTATAAGCGTGCAGTCACATTTTACAATGGTGCTACACCCCAAGCACTGCTAAGCAGGTAACTGAAGATGCTTACTGCAGTAGAATTGCCAGCAATCAGCCGTAGTCCCATTTTTTCTCTAAGTCAACCCGTCAAATTTCTCTGCATTTACAAAGCTGATCTATATAGGTTGAGGGCCAGATTTAAAACAATTAATTCGTGAGCCTTTGTAACCGAAAATGTGGAATGCCTTTTGTAGCAAAGAATGGCACCGACAGAACAAGTCGAGGGGTGCAGTTAATTTCCACACAGAAAATTAAAATAACGCGGCAGGCAACGTGTATCAAGTCCATCGTTCTATAACGTTCTTCGCCACGATTCCCAATGCTTATCCACTGAGGTATCGTATCAGTCACGGTCACTGGGTGACTGGCCTCTGCCAAAGTAGATGCAGAAGACCATTTCATGGAACAGACAAAGCATGGAATCAGCCATACCTACAATGATGTAATGAACTACGCACCCGGTAGAGGCAAATGTCGATGACGGCAGCGCAGAGCTCTTCGAGGTTGTGCGAGATGCAGAGCTGATGATGAACAAACTGGCAGAGCTCCTCGTTGCTCATCACGTCCCAGATGCCATCACACGCAAGCACCAGGAACTCATCCGACGATGGGTCCCGCGCCTGCACCGTTACTTCGGGCTCGGGAGACACCAACTGTTCGCACGGGCCCCTTCCGGCCACCTGCGTGTTTTATTGCACAAGGTAAGTGGATGCAACACAAGCGATGTCAGACAGGTTTAACTCGTTTGCAGCCAAACATTCTTCATGGAATAATCAGACATGGAGAGCTAGTGTGGGTGTTTTTTGCACATGTGTGAGAGTAATGGTGACACCCCTTCAAGTTCAACTAGATGGGGCAAAACAGTGGTTACGGAGTGCATGCCGTAACCATTTTTCCCATAGCAGCAATACCGTAATTCTTTTTCTGCAGACTATGCCCAGTTCTGATTTACTGTATGAAAAACAGACAGGCAGTGCCTTGTGAAATTGAGTGCATTCCAAGCACGATACTACCTTGCGAAACTTACTCTAATCAAGCCAGCAATTTTAGCTGGAAGAATCGCATGTACAGTACCATCCACTTTTAGGTTGAACACGGCTCAACATAGCGGCACTTTGCAGAGCGCCAGGCACTTGGCATGGCCACGCATCGAAGCTTCGTTGCACACGCACACAGAAGCCCATGAAAGATGCTTCACGTCATCTGCTACAGTGCTGGAGCGTGTTGCTCCATTGTAGCCACCATGGCTGTGGCGCTGCACTAGCTTGGCTGCAAAACAGAAGAGCGGCGCGCTCATGTACACCTGCGCAGCCACGACAGATGCAATGGCACTCCGCAGAGTATGGCCATGCTGTGACATGTTTCAAGAGTGGACAGCATTGTGCTTAGTTCTTCCAGTCGCAGAACACTTAGTATGCTGAGAGTGAATGATTATAAAAAACAAAAGGCTCTATTGTTAGAGTAAAGCTTTCTCTTGTCTCTTCTGCACTCTTTTGCAAATTCTGACTTTCTGACTACTCCTATCCCCAACCATTCCTGCCTTGTCAACTCAAACAGGCTTCATGTGTTAATATATAACACTGCATTGCATGCTTCCTATCAGTTTAAGATGTACATACAGGCACAGGAACACATTTCCTTAGCATGCCTACGGCACCATGATATATAAATGCAAGACTGCTTTCTAAGCAACAGTTTTGTTACAAAGCTGCAACATTTACAAAGATCACAAAGATGCAACATTAAGACAGGGGACAGCAATATAATGACAGGGCACTGAACGAACAATCACTGCTTATTGCTAGTAAATACCATATTCACAGAAGCTCCGTGCAGAAGACCAACAAAAACAAGCAGTCGCATTTTCAACAAGCGACAGATTTCACATTTATGCCGGAAAAACAAGGGCACACTTATGTATAAGCGTTTTCGTGTGAAAGAATAAGGTAAGCTTCAATTATCTGACATGCTCCTTGCTCTCTGCATGTTTCCAAGATGATACACTTCTCAAGGATTGGCTAACAGCCATATGCTTCACAGTCACTTAGCCCAGCAATACATAACAGTGAAATCGATCACTTATTAAGAATAAGAAAGCCTGTTTTGCTGATGCATGTAACGTTATCATTTCTTTTTCTACCAGCACAGATACTGTTTTCAATGGTCATATGTGCAAAGCCCAAAAAATGATAGCACTTCTCAGCAATACACTGGGGATGGTTAGCTTAGCACCTCATCTGTCGTTTTCTCACCATATCGCATTCTAGCAATTTGTCTCCATCTTAATAATGTACCAACCAGCCCAGTTACCAGGTGCATTCCTAATGTAATGTTTACGTTACCAGCAGCATCTCAGGTGTTCACCATAAACACCAACAGCATTGGGTCAGTACAAACTGTGCAATGTATTTGGAGAGTGGATAAACAAGCCCATGGGCACTTAAAACCAATAAAGAGGCCCCCACCTGTTTGTACTCAAAGTCTCCCAAGGCTCGCGAGACCGCCAGCGAGCCGTTGACCCGCTGGATCATAACCGACCCGCCAGCCCGCTGGATGCGCTCCTTTTCACCAGGGTTGATGGGCTTGTGGTCGCGCGTCGTAAAGGCTGGCTGGCCATTGCGACACAGCAGAGCACGCGAGTCACCACAGTTGGCAAAGTAGACGTGGCTGGGCGACTACAAGGGCGCAGACGGCAGTCGAGCCGCTCTTGTCCTCTCCCGAGGCCACCTCGGGCAGGGCACGCATCTGGTCGTCGAGACAGAGAAAGCCACGGCGGATGCCCGTGGCCACTCGCTCCGCAAGCTCTTCGCCGCCCTCGGGGAGCTTTGAGGAGAGCATGGGAATGACGACACGATAAGAGACGCATGACAACAAAGGCACTGTGTGAGTCTAGTGAATCATTAGCAAAAGGCAACATAATCACATGTCTTCACACATGCGTTAAGGCTTCACACTAGTTGTCCCTAAGCGTAAAGCAACAGTGGAGCTGGGCCCTTGTTTGTCTACTTTTCAAGAGAAGCCATAGCAGAGCGCTCCAGATATTACATGTACAGTACATGTAGCTCTGGCATTTCATCTCCATCGAGAGGCAACCATTACGGCAGACATCAAACGCGTTACAGGTAAGTAGCTGAGCACCATAACCTCTAAGCCTCCGCGATGGCCAAGGGCTAGTTGGTACATGTTTTAAGGATAGTGTAGAACAAATAAAAGATGGGCAACAGTGCTCTGATCCATAATGTGAGAAAGTGCAACTAAAATGGCACACAAGAGTAGATTGACACACGATGATGCGCTACTGGCAACTGACGTTTTTTGCTCAGGAAGACATGATATCATGCAGTTTATCCCAATAAACCAAACCAGACAACATAAAAAGATAAAAGTACACCTACTAGCATTTGACTACTAGATGTAAGTTGCCAGTAGCACGACGTTCTGTGTCCTGCTATCCTTGTGGGCCATATTACTTGTGCCTTCTCACATCACAAATCAAAACCAAGCTGCCTAACTTTTTGATGAGGTGAGCACTCTGATCCATGTTCACCGATAGCCTCAACAGCCTGACGCAGGACAATGAGTGACAGAGCAGTGCCCAGCACCAACCGCTCCAGCCTAGCAACAGCTACCACTGACCTCGCCGACGTCGGTGGCGGCGGCCACCGTCTGGGCAAACTCGTCCGTCTGGATGATGGCGTCCAGCAGGTTTTGGGCGCAGTGGGCCGAGACGCGAGCGCCCGCGTGCCCGTCGAAGACGGCGAAAAAGCTCCATCGGTCGAGGCCGCAGGGCAGCCCTACCATGGCGCAATGGGCGTCCTCCATCTCGACGCGCCAGCCCTGCATGCTGGCCAGTGCGTAGCGCAGCCCATTGCCCTGTCCACCCTCAGTGTGCTTCTCCACCTTGGGCTTGTCCAGGAAGGCACCCATCTTTCCACTAGTGAAGAGCCGCCGCTTGGACGGGCCCCTGCAGGAGGGATGGCACGAGCACATTATGGTTTTGTGTAAACACAAAGCGCTCTTGTGATGCTCAAAAAAGCACTAAAAAAAGAATTTTTTTTTCACGATGGTAAATTACTCTTTACAATTCCAAAATCCCCCGCTTGCCATGAGAAGACGCTTCGCAAGCGAGAAAACATGCAAAAAGAAAATGTGGGTGGTGCTACCCCCTTGAAAGTTCCTGCACCTAACGTCCGTGATGTCATAAATTTTGATGGTGCTTACTAAGGCCTACGTAGCTCCTAATAGGTAAAAGTGAAGCACTATGTCTACTGATGGGGACCAAAGACTTGACATACCAAAGTTTCGAAAAGTTTTGTCGAGCCACTGTCACCAGAATACGAAAAATGCACTTCAAAATCTATGACACAATGTGCAGAGACTATGATGTGACCTTTAAATATGAGACTGTGACCTTGAATTTTCTCATCTAGAAATAAATTTATGATGGCAAAATGAATAGCATTTGGGTTCTTAGAGTGCACTTTATCAATCTAAACCAATTTATTGTTTCACTTGAGTGTCCCTTCAACACTTTGTAGAGAAACACACAGTTTTCCTTATCAAACTTAATAAACACTGTGACAAAGAAATGTCTTAGATGTTGTAATTTCTACGTTGGACATTCTAATCTGATCTATATACTGTTAGACTGATGAGTAATATTCGGTAGCATAATATACTGGGCTAGTTGGTATATCACTCAATAATAAAGGTGTAAGGTGCAAGTGTCAACAGAGAGAAAAAGCAGAGAGAACAGGAAGAGCAAATTTTGTGCCCAAATGACAATGCATGCTGACTGGCAGGTGCTGCTATCTCCTAGGACTTGCAAGAAGAGTTGGAAATGATGGTTCTACCTTCTTGCCGAGATCAACAGCACCAATTTCTATTGTCAGAGTGTCGCGCGGCCTGCGGGGGGCATCGCCGAGGGGCATCGCCGTCTCGTGGTTTCGGTTTTTCGGTTTCGCTGGGTTATCGCAACGGAGGCACGCAAAACTTGGTTTTATCTTTATCGGCTGTAACAAGGGTGGTGAAAGTTGATTTCCATCTTTATTGGTGCTGCTCTTGGCTTGTTTATCACTGACACTCACGAGGTATTCTCATATTCCTTGATTGCCGAGTTTGCTCTGCCCACGGGAGATACACGTTTAAATGCCATGAGTTTGCCAGAACAACTTATCTGCCCAAGAAAGACCCAAGAAGAAAACGGAGACACATGTTATGTGCGGAGACGGCGATAAGATGCCGAGCGTAGACCCGTGTTTCAAGAAATACCACGCTTTCAAATACCATTGAACGTTTTGCAGTCCTGAGTAATGCTGCTCCGTTGTTTATTTTTTTTTATGAAATATTTGCTCGACTTTACACAATACATGCACTCTAAAATTGCAATAAAATAATCTGGCCACGTGAGAAAATTTTTCATAAAATAATTTGACACTCAAAGGGTTGCAAGAAATACAAGTCTGTCTCTTGGCTGCAAGTTTAAGCTTGTGATTCCGGCATGGATCAATACCAGCTTGCTGCTACAAATCCAAGTGTTTGTAAACATGTTTCTGTACGACGATACTAAGTTCCATGTCATTCACATTCGATACTGTCACAAGGTAGCAGTATGTGTTGGTCGGTGAAGCATTACGGTGTAATTACGTTAGCATCATAGCGTGCAGTACAAGTTCACAAAAATCACGTATGTAGACATGACAAGCCTCCAACTTCATCCAAACTGTTCTAGAGAGATGGCTTTACATTTCACAGGAATGCCTGTCGTAAGGAGAAAAAGGGCAAAATGGCAGCACACCTAAAGTGTTAAAGGTCAAGTCAACTGGTAATGCTTGATGGAACATAACAAAAACAAACACTTGACAAATATTAACGGCCACGAGAAAAACAGGGGAGGTCGATGTTGTTGATGCATTGGGCGCGGCAGTTGACGAAGCATCGCTGCTGGTAGACATGTTGGAAGCAGTGACTTGGCGTCCGCTGCGTAACTCCATTGTGCGTTGTAACTCAGCACCTCCACGAAAATTTTGCGTGAACGCCCGCGGAAAACTAGGCGTTTTAAGATATATTTGCACACCGCCAATGCCCAAGCCAAGATGGAGAACAGGAGTACGCCCCATACAACGAAATCACGACGTCTTTCTCGGCACCTATCTCATACAGTGGCTCAACAACCAAAGCATGAGCCAAGACAATGGTGTGGGTATTTCTCATGTATAAATTTAAGCACGAAAGAAAACAGTGCTTGCATCACATATTGAGAGTAGAGCTACTGAAAGATAAAAAAAAAAAAATGTGAGCCGTTTTGCTTTCTCTTTTGCTAAGGGATCTCCGTAACTACAGTCAGCCCATACTTTCATCGAATCAGAGAGGGAAAAAAAGGGATAAAAAGCTGTGATCTTGGCACTGACACCAAGTTTCACATTTAGAATGGAATCCATATATGACGTCGGTTCGAGGTCGGTTGACTTCAAAGCTGCTGTGAAAGATGAAAGATGCAGACATTCTCTGCTTGCCACATGGCACTTGAACCACCAAGTCAGCAATTTTTGTCACTTGACACGCACTGTTATGGCAGACATTTCTGCACACTGAGAAACTCTTGAAGTCTGTCATGCATTTTTTTGTAAATACTTAAAAAAGCCTGGCTGACATACAGCGATGTATAATCATTCATCTGTGTAACTGCTACTACTAAATGCACTGCATCTCCTTAATGACAAAATAATTTTGTTTTTATTCTTGTATTGTGATCCTTATTACCCCCTCTTGTTTTTAGGTTGTCTTAAGGAATGCACTAATTGCTATCTATTCTTTTATAATGTGCAATTAGGGGCCTTCTATTTTTTTTTTCTTCATTTCAATGTGACTATATTTCTCTGGCTACTACCTTATCTTTGTACTTTGTTTGCATAAACACACCTTATCTTAAACAAGAGAGTTATTTTATAACTCACACCTTATAATTTCAGCAATGACAGAAATCTAATGCAAGCGAGATATTCTTGGACGGGAATACTTACTTGCATTTATGAAGACAGGAAACCTTTGAAATGTTACTTCGAAATGACCACTTTTCAACCTTGAGCCATTTAAACAGAAAATAAGGAGCCAGTTATGGAAGTAACGTTCACAGCTCTCCCACACAACCTTCAATTAGTTTGCCAATACTCATTCGTGAGATTTAATGACTTGAAACTATGCAGTCTGTAGGAAATTTCAGTAGGAGAGCCCCACATTATTACATACCACATACAGTTCTTTAATGTACGCACTAAAAGCTAAGAACGTGAAGCATTTTTTTGGATTGTCGACTTAATGTAAATGTGACTGCAGTATCTCTTTCAGTAGTCAGACCTGCAATCACCTAGCTCAGTCGCTATTAATGGACTGCTAACACTTAATACATCCCAAATGAAGTTTTGAAGTACTGAAATAGCTATGCAGATCATGATGACTAATACGTTTTGTTGGCTAAGAGACAATTCTGACCAAAAGCTGCCTGATGACTTGTCCATTGCAGATTAAGTAAAGATGTGATACAGCTGCAAATAGGCCTAAAGCCTGTAGCCTTGGATAGCCAGACAGAACTTACAGCAGGTGAGGCCTCGACAGGATGACCAAAGTGTGATCGCTTTGCGAGAGATCAAGTCACAGATTGCCTCTGTCATGATCCAGACTGACAAAGTCACCAGTAGTCTGGCTCATGACATTAATCTGAAGAGCACACCTCTCGATACTGGTCTTAGAAGAGGAAATTACAGCGCCTTTTAAGTTTGTAGCTAAATTTAACAGTGTTTTTCATACACTGATCTAGAGCAGAATTTCTTGCTCCATGGCGGTGAATCCAGTAGCCGATCTGGAAGCGGGTTCACATGTTCCACTGGTCAGTTTCAGAGTATCTCGCACTGCATCAGATTGTTCCGACCAGCTTCATCGCCAACTCATGGTTTCAAGCACACTAAGACGAGCAGCAGATGTCACTTCCGTCATTCTGCAAGTAACCTTGGTCGCGCCTTTCAGCAGCAAGCAAGATGGCCGTGGAAACGTACAAAGCAGAAGTAGAAACAGTTTCCGGAAGCAGTCAATGTGACGTGTGCATAAACAACTTCCACTGTAATCGCACATGGAGCATTTCTGTGTTCCACTAGCAGCTTTGGCCATATGCAATCTGAGCACTCACTCAAGGATTTTGGCAACTGCTCCAAATCTCGTAATCAAAAACACCATTAGTGCATAAAAAGTACCGAAAGCATCAATTGTTAAGGACACCATGAATGTAAACAGCACGTCTGGGAAGATAAGTTAGAAAACGTTGGTAGCCATAACGGTTTCAGACAGGCAGCATGTCGACAACACTACCATGATTTAATACCTTCCTCGACTTGGAGCCCATTTGAGAAACTGTAGTGGCCGGGGTAAAGGAAAAACAGAAAGCAGAGGCACTTTTATCTACCCGGCTTGAAGGGCGGGCTGCCAAGAGCCCACTCAATTGGACGTGCTACTAGCAGTTTAACCTTTGGACCCCATGTTGACATGAGGGCCGAGTCAGGAAGAGTGCTAACAAAGATAAGAAAGCACCACCGCACTGAGGAATGAAGAGCGTATGCCAAAAAGGAAGTGCTCGAGAGGGGTGAAACTCTGAGTGCTCGAGCGGCAGGCACTGCACCGCGCAGCACAAGGTGAGGCAAAAAAGGTAGCGCTGGGCCAAGAATAAGCGTGTTCGACTGCCGACAGATAAGACGGACAACGGGCCTGACTTATATGCTGACCGTGACACTAAACCCGAAAAGAAGCCCTTTTTGCAATATCAAAGCTACCGTTTCCGACAGGCACTCTGCTCAGACAACGCAACCCCTTCAGGTGCGAATAATGCGGACTGTCTGTGAAATTCGTCAAACGCACGCTACTTCATTCAAAGGCATTTAATATTCTATTACAACGAACAGAAGGTGGCCATATGGC